ATATAAATACTATGTTTGCCCAACTTCACATGATAACCAGCTTCAGATGTGTTTGGCCTGCACACATTTTTTCTTCATTAATTTATTGATATTGTGTTTGCAATTTATAGCGATTGTTAAGTAAAATCGACATTTTGGGCTTTATTTCACAGTGAAGCTAAAGTTATTTTTCAAAGTAGCTAAAGGGCAATTACGCCTATTTTTGCTTTACCTCCAGCATTTTTAATATGCTCCAGATTAAAAACCAACATTTTTAGACTCCTTAAACCTGGATTACTTTATTCTACACTTACAGCAGAATAATTAAAACCAATCATGTGCGTTGTGCACCTTTTCTGTGGTGCAGCAGCAATAATGGCACATTTTTGCATCTGGACTAAACCACAACTAGCCTGGCCCTTGCCTTCCTACGCAGTTCTTCCACTCAATTCTAGTTTCCCTTCACTGCTCCGTCTGGGATTTCTCCCATTGACAAGTCCACAACTGGTCCAGTTTCAAAGCTACAACATCCAGACACTTAAAACCAGTTCTAGACGATGCAAAATCTGATCCATCTTTCATAAATACAGTATTTTCATAACAACTGAAGGTAACAGTTAGTTACATAGTAACTTGATTGTCGTATAGAATTGAACTGTGTGCCTGAAAATATACCCCACCCCTTAACTTTAAATGCAAGTATAAATTAATAATACATGTTAAAGTAAATATTATTTTAAATGTGTATTTCAGGTTTCTGCGCTGGATGATACACCATTCACGCTAGAATGGGTAGATGTGAGCAGAAGGACAGAGCGAGGAAAAGAGCTGCCAAAAGCTGTTTCCTTGTACAATTTTGTTTCAAAGAAACAGAGAATACAAGGTAAATTTCAAAACTGTGCTGCTTGTAAACTTGATTTTTAAAGGACAGAATTATTTAAAGAACTAATACTTTGTTTTCAAAGCATTTTCATAGAAAATTTTAGTTAGGTATTTATCAAAGCATTTGACATTTAAATTCCATAGATACTGAAGCTTTTACAGAAGCTTTTACAAAGATTTTACAAAACTTCTAACTACTTTGTATACATACAAGTTAAATAGAAATGATATAAACATTTTCTGACATTTAAATATTATATTTTTTTACAAAGTTGTTTTTTTATTCTCAGCTCGGTCAGCCACAGCTAGCTCCTTGTTGGGACTAGTGCCAGCTATTATCTGCACTCGCCATCTGGACACCACAGAGATTGTCAGCATGTATGCAGAAGACCTACCCTCTCCAGAACTTGTTGACCAGGAGGTTACAAGGTGGAAGTTGAAGTAAGTTGTTTTGAAGTAAAGCATCCAAGAAGCTGGTTTAGAAATTGAATGTTACAATACTATTGCTATATAAAAAATCTGTTTCAATAACTGTTCTGTTAGGTATGACAGAGTGCCTGAATCACAGAGGCCAAACACCCCAGCGAGTTCCCTGAAAGAGTGTGACCGAGACTTGTACCCCAACCTGCACGTCCTGTTCCGGCTGGCCTGTACACACCCTGTCTCATCCTGTGAGTGTGAGCGCAGTGCCAGTGCCCTTCGTTGCCTCAACAACTACATGCGGGYGTCGATGGGTAAGGAGYGTCTCTCTTCACTGGCACTGCTTCATATTCATTACAGCAAGCATGTTGACCTTGACAGCGTTGTTGATGTGTTTGCAAAGAAACATGCAAGAAGGATGGAGTTGGACTGTCTTCTTTATCCAGATTGAGATCATGGACCATGGATCATTGTAAATAAAGGTTTTGCAAAACTACATCTGTTTAACATGCTTTTATGTTAATCTATAAAGTAGTGTCAACAATTTTTTTAAAAATGTGTAGCTGTAGATGTAAAGGTATTGAATATGTATTATAG